AATAATTGTCAGAATGAAGAGGCAACCAATAGATAAGGAAAAAATATTTTGAGACCATATATCAAATAAATTAATGTACAATTCATATAACGAATTTTTACAGCTTGATAGCAACAGAAAGAAAAAAACCTCTCAATCCAGTTAAAAATAGGCAAATTCTCTGATTAGATTTTCCTCAAAAGAAAATATGCAAATGGCCAATAGGTATACAAAAAGATATTCTCCACCACTAATCAAGAGGGAAATGCAAATCAAAACTGCAATGAGATATTACTTTACACCTATTAGGTACTATTTTAAAGATATAAATATAGGCAAGGGCATGGAGAATTAGGAACTCTTGCACATTATTGACAATATTGAATACTGGTGCAGTTACTATGAAAAACTGTATGTAGGTCCCTTTAAAAAGTAAAAATAGTGCTACTATTGGATCCAGCAATCCACTTCTGGATATATATCCAAAGGAATCAAAAATCTAGGTTTCAAGTAAATATGTTCATTTCCATTTTTTTTTGCTTAAATTCTTTTATTGGTACATTTTAGGTATACAATACGTTTACATTTATCATTGGGTGCTTGTACATATTATAGCATTTTTGCAAGAGCTCTTGGCTTTTGGCTTGGAGAAGGCTAAGGTACAGCCTTCTTTGATTGTCCTGAAACCAAGTTCCTCTGACACCAGACGCCTCTACCGTACCACCCAAGTTTGACAACCCTAACAAAATCAATGTTGTGTACCTAAGGTATATCAGTGGCTAGGTCAGTGCCACTGCCACTTCTGTTCTGGTCCCCAAGATCATCCCACTTGGTCAGTCTCCAAAATCAGTGAGTGATGATGTCACCAAGGCAACTGATGACTGGAAAGGTCTGAAGATTACAGTGAAACTGACCATTCAGAATAGACAGGCCCAGACTGAGGTGGTGTTTTCTGCCTGTGCTCTAATCATGAAAGCACTCAAGGGGCCACCAAGAGGGATAACAAACAGAAAAAGATTAAGCATAGTGAAAATATCACTTGTGATAATATGATTGCCAAAATTTCCCAATAGATGTGGCACCAATCTTTAGTCCAAGAAGTTTCTGTAACCATTAAAGAGATGCCAGGGATTGTCCAGTGTGTGGGCTGCAATGTCAATGGTCAGGAACTTCATGACATCATAGATGACATCAAGAATGGTGCAGTGAAATGCCCAGCTAGCTAAGAAGTATAAGAAAAAATATGTCAATAAAAAGATCTGAAAAAGGAAACACAATTTATATCAAAAGATGAAGGATAAAATGTGGTGCATATATATTATATATAGTAGAATACTATTTATCCTTTTACAAAAGGAACTGTTACCATTTATGACAGTAGAGACAAACCTGAATTGTATTATGCTAGATAAAATAGATCACACATAGAAGGAAAATATCACATGATAGCACTTTTAACACAATGAATATAAAATAGTCAAATTCATAGAAATAGAGATTAGAATAGTAGTTTTTATAGGCTGGGAGGAGAAGGAGACAAGGGCCTGTTAGTATACAAAATTATGGATATACAAAAACTTCTATAGCTAAAACTTTATAAAAGGTTAGACCTTATTTTAAATTTTCTTATCATACCCCCAAATGATAAAGTGAATAGGATTAGTCTCATTGAGTTGATGCAAAGATTTATAGCATAGATTACTGAGATACTTTCATTGGTGTGTAATTACTTCATTGTTATCATTGTTATCAAATTTTGTACCTTTTATATACTTACAGTTTTTATATGACAATCATACCTAAATAAAGTGTTCTAAAAGAAATCAATAGCAAATAAAACAATTTAATAAATATTTTCAAATTATAAAAAGAAGAGGGTGTAAAGTTATTTAAGAACTATGTATTATGAGTTGGTCAATGATTATAGTAAATAGAGTTTGTTCCAGTAATGAAACTTGGTGAATAAGAATGAATGATATTAAGTGTATAGAAGTAATTGCTCAAATATCATTGTTTGAAATGTGTTTTCCTTGTAGCATTGAATCTCTGCCTTTCCACATCTCTTTATGCCATTTAAATATATGTACTTTGAACATAATGTAAAAGAGTTATTTTCACATTCAGTGACTAACATACAACTTTTGTACTTCAAATGTACATATACATACTTACACTTATAGTACTTTCACTTTTAAAGAATATTTTTCATTTTCTTTAGATTTGCCACTTTCTAGTTGTATTTGGCAAGGTGAAATCCTGCTTCTCTAGTCAATTTTAACTAAATAATTCAAATCAGCTTCATCACTACCCTATTTATATATTATCTTTGGAGCTACTTTTTGAGCACTGGTTGTCAGGTGCTAATTTTCTGTTTTGAATCCATCAGTGGTACACTGAGAAGCTTATTGAAGGTAAGAATTTAACTACATACTCAAATAAAGGACCTAAATATTTTGAAAAGTTCAAATAAATAATAACATTCTATTGCTTTCCTATGCTTGATTGTGGTTTTACTTGTACACCTAAATATACAGGTGCTTATTACAGGTTGAGCAAACAGGATGTAAGAGTTTCATAAATTTAAAGTCATTGCAATATAGACCACAAGGTAATGCAAAATATAAGATGTTTAGACTAAGAATCTAAACTTGGAATCAAGTGTAAGTATAGAAAAATAAAAAACAACATATGATTTATGTGGTAAGAGGATTCTATCTTTTGAGATTTTATTTAATTCATGTTTAGGAAAAATTGGACTTTTGCTGCATATCTTCCCCTAAATAAATGACTTATGACTGTTCATACTGAGAGTAAGATTCTTCAACTGCAAAAAGAAATTAACTAGATAGTTCTGAAATTTTCCTGTAGCATATTATGATATGATGCTTTAGTAGTTTAACATTAATTTTTGAACTTGTGCACTGACTTTTTCTTCACTATCATACCAAAAGCACTTACTTGAGAGAATTCATAGATGTTGGGAATTACCATCTTTTCTATTAATTAAAGCTACATGAAGACTTTTATTCATTTATTCTCTTAACTTCATTGTCTTAGATATATACACATTTGATATGGAATTTTTATCAATGAGATTGTTTAAGATTTTTTTCATTTTTAATTGTTTTTAAAAATTTTTATTGCTACATGTTTGGAGCACATAATGATTATATTCCTCATGGGAAGTTGGTACATGTACATAACACATTTTAACTTTTTATCCCCCTTCCCCTCCCTTCCTTCCTGGCTCCTTCCATCTCTTGGTCCTCTTCCATTTTGCAAAAGATCTATTTCCTATTATTATCTTTTATTTTGATTTTAATGTATATTTTGAATTTCTAATATAAAGAAAACCATTGATATTTAAGCTATGGGTCTGATTAGTTCCATGTAACATTATGGTCTCAATGTGCATCCATTTTCCTATAAATGACTCAAATTTATTTTTCTTTGTGACAGTAGTACACCACTATTTTTTATAGAATAAAAGGCAATGTATTATTCACGTAAACTTATTTTTATACAATAGGAAAATAAACATTAGGTAAAAAATCATAATTGTCAGGATTCAATTCTAAGGAACTAATACAAATTCTGGCAACTTTCACTGATAGAACTTTTGTATGAAGTACTCAGCCTATCATGTTTACTGACTAAACTTAAGGTGCTTGACACGTCATTTGAGGAATGAGAATTCAGTAAAGTAATTGCATATGGCAATAAAATCTCTGATACCATCTGAAAAATGTTCAAAGCACATCATCACTTCAGAGAATAAAGTGATTTTTTTCAAAACTTTATAAATCATGATTTAGAAACAAGTTAATGTGGTGAAAAGTATGCTTCATTGTAAGTTTTTCATGGATGTTAAAGAGTACAAAATGTTAAAATAGAAATGTAAATATTTTCTCAAATATGCATACTTAGATGTTTTAGGCTGAATTTACTTCTGTTTTTATCTTTGTAAGGGTTCACTCTGTCTCTTAGAAACAAGGTCTTTTAATGATAGTTATGTTTCTACTGAACAACATTCACCTTACTTTGCCAAAATTGTATTTGCACTGAAGAATAGGTTTTATGAATTCTGAAATACTATTTTAAAATCTGCTAGATTTTTTTTTTTTGCTTTTTGCCCCAGGACACCATTATTGTAGCAGATGGTTAGAGATTTGCACATTGTCTAAAAATAATTAAGTTGAATTCCCTAGAGTTTTGGAAGGTGTTCTTAGAGTGTGGCTTGATCTGCTGCTTTTAGTGCCTGCTCCCTTATATATATTTGAGTTACTTCATGATATGGAGTGCTTAGGAGAAGTTCAAATTCATATACCCATTTTTTCTGTGTGGTTATTTCCTCACTTTGTCCTATCATATGGAAATAATTTTTTTAAAAAATAAGTACCATACATTAGTACAAAATTATGAAATTATTCTATGGGCCTGGCTACAGATGTGGGGTATTATTTTCATTTATTTTATGAGTATGAGGATGGTAAAAGTGTAAAAAGACTACCTGTTGTGTTTTCTTCCTTCTTTCGCTCCCCTCTAATCTGACACTTGCAGGCAAGGTAGTCCATAGCAGAACTGCCAACAAAGTTGCAAAACACAAAAGGACACCTTCTAGTACTTCAGATGCCTTCCTCTTACATTGTTGTTTTAGATGTAAAATGTTCCACAGTGAGTTCTATTTGAAACAACAGAGTAATCCAGTATTCTTAGCAGAGAAAATAGTACATTAACAAAATTCTTGGAATTTTCCAAGCAGTTTTCATTTTACTGCCTTTGTTTTCTTTGTATTTTGAATTAGGGATCAGATTCATATTTAAATTTTTTTTAGATTTTTAAAATGTCCATTTTAAGATGAAGGAATTATGAGTTGAAAATTGTTAAATTATTCATAAATTTGACTTTGGTTTACTTTTGGCTTATGCTTTATAAACGTAGCTCTGCTAAAGAAATGTATCCAACTTTCAGTTACACTAAGTTATGGTCCCTTTTTTATATAAAGATGATTCTGGTTTTAGGTATAACGGCTGCAGCAATGGCTGAGGCAATGAAGCTGCAGAAGATGAAGCTTATGTCTATGAACACTCTTCAGGGAAATGGAGGCCAAAATGGGACTGAATTGGAGCCTGACAATTTTAATCCTAACACAGGTGAGTGTCTTTAGTATTTTCACAATAGGTAACCCTAACCATTTCATTGTGGAGTGAGAAAGAGGATGGATAAGAAAGGAAGAAAGAATCATATATATAGTTTGATTATAAACATTTACTCTAAAGGATAATTAACTGTACTTACTCATGTACACTGAAACTAGTAAAACATTACAGTTCAGAATCCCAATTCAAAAACATTTAGATATTTCCATCACTTTGTTGCAATGGATTTAAAGTATAATTCTTACAGTGGAAGCCATTGCACTCTGTCTGCTGAAGCCTGCCCATTCTTGCTTCACTCCAGGATTCTTACTCCACCCTTTCTAAATAATTATCCATTGAGAGGTAAGGCTGAGAATCTAGATTTGGTGGTCTCCACCTAGAAAACCATCTACTTAGGCAAATGAAATTGTTGGCAGACACCAGGGATTATAGACAAAAGTAAAAGAAAAGGGGTAGAACAGGTAGCTAGCAAGGAAGAAAAGAAGCAGAAAGAAGAGAAAGATGCCTGTGGACTGCAATGTCCTCTCCTCTCATATAGCTTATTTCATTTTTTTCCACTTTTACCATGCCATAATTATACCTTGCCCTTAAAATTACCCCTCAGATCTCTTTTGGAAGGAGGTGTGATTATAATGATCAACATAAGTGGATGGATAAATATGAATTACTTTTAGTGGAGACTAATATAGGGCAATCAATTGGGGTCTTATGAGGTACAAGTTTCCACGACAGTTCTGCGTTTAAAGTCAATATAATAAGTGGATTGGGAGCAGCCTTACCTCTCTTCTAGGCTCCTAGATACTTAAGAATGATATGACATTTTAAAGAGAAGTGAGAAACAGAATTAAAAATGAAAATTATTAACTCAAAAAAAATGTAAAACTACTTCAATTGAGTTATAATTTCCTTATCTGAAATTGCAGTGTACACAGTGAATTATAAAATGAGAATTTCTTTTCAACCAGTGCTCACAAGTGCTTTTATCTTTGTATACATCCTGGCTGAAATTTATCAAGGAATCAATGGAAAAATGTATATTTTTGCTGGACTCATAATATCTGAAATAATAACCAACAGACAAGATTAATTTAGTATTGAACAAAGAGTAGAAATAGTAAGAATAAGTATCTGTTATTTTATACTAATTATATAATGTATTAACTCATTTAATTCTTAGCAAAATAGTGAGAAAAGAAAAATTCTAATACTCCCATTTTAAAGATCAGAAAACAGAGGTACAGAGTTGTTCAACTTTGTCCACAGTCATAAAGCTATTAAATTGCAAGATTAAGTTTCAATCTTATGTTTGTTTAAGTCCAAAGCATTTTTTCTTTGCATTCTGCCTCATCTGCAATGCTGTATTGTAATGGGATTTTGATTCGATCAATTCATTGGAATGAAATAGTTAAAATGAGGCCAGGGATTTAGCTTAGTGGTTCTTCACTTGCCTTCCAAGCACAAGGTCCTGAGTTCGATTCCCTGTACCGAAAAAAAATTGTTAAAATGAGAATACAGTGAGAGAACTGATTCTCAATTTCCTAGTTCGAATCCCTCTTAACTCAGCCTGTCATATCTTTTTATTTTATATTAATTGGTACATTTTAGGTATACAATACATTTACATTTATCATTGGGTGTTTGTACCTGAGCATGATGTATCTTAGTTCTTATTTTTTCCCCCATTACCTATGCACCCTTCACGCCCACCACCCTTCCCCATTTACATAGACTTTGTTTCAATTTTTTTCTTTCTCATAATTTTTCCTTTCCCTTCTTCCCTTCACCCTTCCCTTCCCACCACCCCTACCGCTTTGACCTTTTCCTATTGCAAATTAACACTTATTCTTTTTAATCATTTTCATCCTTATTTGCACTTTCAATTTCTCACTCTACAGACACTATTAGGTATTTACACATGTCCTATTTATTTCACTTAAGAGTATGGCCTCGATATACATCCATTTAGCTATAAATGACTCTAGTTTCTCATTCGTTATGGCTGAGTAGTACTCCATTTTATTAAAAAATCACATCTTCTTTATCC